TCTTTTCTAGGTAAAGAGTAGAGTATATCAAGGTAAATCTTCAGGCTTGTTTTGTTATTTGTACTATGCCCTCTGTACTGGTGTTTGATATGGCTTTTATATGTAAGTAGTTTTAGTGACTTCTGATGGCTGACTGACTTACAGCTTCTGAAAACTTTCCTATTCCTAGATTGCTAGCTTGGATGATAGAATAAATGGTGATACTACCACCTGAGATAGGAGATGAGAGGAACAAATTGTGGGAGTAGGGAGAAGATTAGTTTCATTGGGGACAGGTTTACCTTAAACACTGATGTACTAGTTTATTACATGTGACCAGTTTTTCTGTGCTAATGATTTAGTACATTAAATATTTATTTAAGTAGATAATTTCAGGACTAGAAATATAAATTAGCATGCTTGCATTTTCTGTTTCTCTTTGCAAATGACATATTTGAAGTGATGCCATTTTCTGAGAAGAAAAAATGCTTCATGCAGGGAGGAATATTGACCTATAACATTTACTGGGTTTCCCATCTTGGAAATAAATTTAAATTAGACTCTCATTGAAATAAAGGTTCTTATTATATTTTTCTTAAATTGTAACAATATTTTTACATTCTTATTCCTATTAGCAGATTGCTTTTTGTATTAATCTGTTCTCACACTGCTGTAAAGAAATACCCAAGGCCAGGTGCGATGGCTCATGCCTGTAATCCCAACATTTGGGAGGCCGAGGCAGGAGGATTGCTTGAGCTCAGGAATTTGAGACCAGCCTGGGCAGCATGGAGAAACCCCATCTCTTTTTTAAAAAACACAAAAATTAGCCAGGTGTGGTGGCACACACCTGTGGTCTCAGGTACTTGGTATGCTGAGGCAGGAGAATTGCTTGAGCTCGGGAGGTGGAGTTTGCAGTGAGCTGAGATTGTGCCACTGAACTCCAGCCTGGGCAACAGACCGAGACCCTGTCTCAAAAAAAGAAATACCTGAGACTGGGTAATTTATGAGAAAGAAGTTTAATTAGCTCATAATTCTGCAGGCTATACAGGAAGCATATTGGCATCTGCTTCTGGGGAGGCCTCAGGGAGCTTTTACCTGTAGCAGGAAGAAAAGCAAGAGCAGGCCATCTTATATGGCAGAAGCAGGAGCAAGAGAGAGTGAGCGGGGAGGTGCTGCACACTTTTAACGACCAGACTCCACAAGAACTCGGTCACTGTCACAAGAACAGCACCACAGGGGTGGTGATAAACCACTCATGAGAAATCACCCCTATGATCCAATCACCTCCCACCAGGCCCCACCTCCAACATTGGGGGCTATAATTTGACTTGAGATTTGGTGGGGACACAATCCAAACCATATCACATTTCAAAACCATAATAGTTATGTTAAGTTCTTTTTCCTCATAGTGCCAGATAACATGTCTTTCTGCTGATACATTGGGTAATTCTGTTTCATTTAGTGATTATAATAACCTTACATATTTTCTTTTTTCAGTCACTGAACAGCAGATTTCTGAGAAGTTGAAGATTATTATGAAAGAAAATACAGAACTTGTACAGAAATTGTCAAATTATGAACAGAAGGTTTAATTATTCTTTTGTCTTTTTTTCCCATGGTCCCAGCTTGAATTATTTTCACCTGTCTTATAGTTCAGTTACTATGGTGTTTTAAAATAATATTTATTATTCCATTAATTCCTATAAACAATCCAGAGCTTAAGCAATCATGTGTGTAAAGTACTGTTTTCTTCTATAAGAGGTCAATCACTTCAAAGTAAGTTCCAATAGCACAATACTTTGTATTTCTGGATTCTGAATGCTTTATTTTTTGCAGATTGAGGAATCAAAGAAACATATTCAAGAAACTAGGAAACAAAATATGGTTCTCTCTGATAAAGCCATTAAATTTAAGGTGAAAACTTCTTTTGGGGATTACATTTTAAAACAAAAGTAAAAATTAATGAATGTAACTAATCTTAATATCTTTTTTGTAGGATAAAATCAAGACACTTGAAAAAAATAAAGAAATTCTGGGTGACACAGCTAAAAATCTTCGTGTTATGTTAGAATCTGAGAGAGAACAGAATGTCAAGAATCAGGATTTGGTAAGAGTTTTGCTGCTAACTGTTACTAATAATTTGGTTTTTGAACTCTGTAGATGGATTTGAACTTTTCATTTTCCATAGTGTTCTGTGAAGTAAGAGTGCGAGTCAGGGAAGTTGAACCTACTTCTGTCCGTTTTTGTGGGATTTTAAGTACTTATGCAAGAAGTTACTCTTATGGGCCTAGGAAGTATTTTGGTTCTCAACCCTAGGTAATTGTTGTATTGCTTGGCTCTGTCCCCCAAAACATGTGGAGCAACTAAGAAACCACAACCCAGTTGAACAGTCCCTGTGTTTTGTTTTGTTTTGCAAAGTTCTTTTTTCACTGTAAGCATTTTACTTTATTAATAGAATAGTTTCAGAATGACATAAAAATTGCAAAGATAGTAAGGAGGGTTCCCATAAATCCCACATCCTATTAATCTTGATGACCTGACTGAGCTTAGTATTGCCAGGTTTCTTCACTGTAAAATTACTTTTTTTTTTTAACCTTTTGCATTATTGTACTCTTTGGAAGGAAGTTAGTAACACAGCTCACAGTTAAAAAGTGAAGGATTATGCTCCATTCCCTTGAGGAGCTAGAATCTTCATAAATTATTTGGAATTCTTGTATATGCATGATCTGTCTATTCTCACTCCAATTCTCCCATTTTTAATTTAGGCAAGAGAATTTTTAAAGTACCTTGGGGATTTTTTTCTCTCTCTTGCCCCAAGGGGGAAAAAAAAAAAACCTACATTGATTTGAACTTGTTAACTTGAAAGTTTTTTCAGTTTCTTTTCTTTCATCTTTTAGTCTTGCCATGTATCACATTTTATTCTAACAAGGAAGGTTGTGTATGCCATGAAATATTTACGCCTTTGATTATTTTCCTTTACCTCTTTAAGTTCTTGATTTTTCCCTA